AGAAAGAAGGGGAAATTATGTATGTATGTATATACAGGATAGCTAACATAGTTGTACTACTGACTTCTTTCACTTTCCTGAAAGGAACAGTTAATGATTAATTATTTGATCAATCTTGCATGTCTCTATTTGTTTTCCTGAGAAAACACTCTGAAGATATCAATACGTAATAAAACAACCATTGTTAATTTCCTACCACTTTGTCTGTAACTCTCCATTGCTGTATTGTTCTTATGCTATTTTGTAAATGGATGTCTGTTTGTTATTGTTTTCCTTCATTTTTAAAATAAATTTTTAAAAAATTAAAAGAACCATATATCAGATATGTGGGTCTACAATTCACAATTTCATTTTGAGGACCAAACTTCCATATATATCACAGCAAAACAAAATATTATAAAGTATCAGAAAGATCTCCCAAATATCAGCTTTTAAATAAATAAAAGTTTTGCTTGGGGAAGTTCATTTTCACCACTGTTGCTTTATAGAAATGTTATGACTATTTTTCTTCGCTCTTAAATTGATTCAAATATGTTATACTATATAAACATCCATTGCTCCCCCAAAGATACCTGATTGTCTCTATTATTTTCTTTTTTTTTATTTTAAAGAGTAAAAGAAGGGCAACAAAGCAGTAGGGGGATACACCGAATTACAGACAAAGTGGTAGGACATCATCAATGTTGTTGTCTCTATTATTATCTTCTCCATTTTTTCCTTCACTATAAACATTCAATCCCAAGTTACTCAGAATTCAATAAACTGTAATTGATGAAGAAGTTGGAATGCAAACCATGTATTATATACCTGAATCAATCCCTTTTCCACTCTCATAAGATGTAGTAGATTCTAAAACGAATGTATTAAAAATGTAAAAAAGTAAAATAAAATGAATGTATAAAATGACCATAAAGGACAAGTGCTATATTTACCAAACTGTGAGCCTCTTTCTGGTCAGTCTTCTCCCATATTTTCCTTATCAAAAGGAGTTTGTTCTATCTTAACAAACCTTTAAAAATATTTCTAACTTTTTAAGTTGTTCTGTGGTACAGGAAGGTAGTTTCTTATCTGCGAGCAAAGACGATTGTGATCAGTTCATTTAAGTTTAGTTTCCCCAAACCCAATGATACAGTTCAAAGCAGTCACTGCTGTCCTCTTCTTCATTCAGACTTATCAAGAGAATAAAAAGTGAGATAAATGTCAACATAATAAGATGTTTAATTTCATCTGTCAATTAAACACATCACATTGAAGTCTTGTCAAAATAATCTATAGGATACTTGGAATGTGACTCTAATATTGTCCAGCCTCTTTTCTCCTATAGGTATTTTTCAAAAGAATTCACATTCAACACCATGTTCAATAGCATGTTACCAACTACAAAAGATGTGTTTCAGAAAAAAAATTATGCCTTGTGCTGAAAAGGTAAAATTTATATCTAACATTTCCCTTTCCCAACAAACACATCAGACTCTGCATTCATATGTAAACTTTCACAAAGATGCTTCAACACTGAGCTATAGAAAATAGATCATGTACTACCAAGTGTGTCTAATACATGAGCTGTGAGTAGTAGTTTAAAAACATAATTGAAGAAAGAGCAGTCTTCTCAATTCTCTGAATCTGTTTATTCAGGGGGAAACATTAGCATGAGCTGTGAGAAGTTACACCCCAGGAGAAGTCATCTCTAGATAAAACTGAGTAACCTGGTCATCCCTTTTCTATGCATGAAAAGTTATTTCAGAATAATATACAATACAGCTAATAAGGACAATACTGCCCAGAGCACATCATTTTTAGATTTTGTTGCAAGTATTTATAGCAAAAAAGTGACATAAAAGGACAAACTCTTTCAGCTTCATTGTTTGAAATACAGCAAATTCAATGTCTTAGCTACATTAATGAATCTCTACTAAATATGACTAAGAAGTTAAATCTGTAGTTTATAATGATTGTACTATCTTTATGATTGCTTTTCCTTTATCTTCTCCTGGTTTTATTCATCCAGTGAATGTTTCCCAAACACCTGCCCTACAGGTCTCACTGCATTGCAAACTATGAATACAGATGGAGAAATTGAGCTCCTTATCTAGTGGAAGGGACATACACTAAACAAATTATAACATTGACTTTTACAATGCTAAAATAGATGGCAGACTACTAAGAGCTTGCATCTAATTTTATTCTGAATTTCTAAGTTAACATTACATAAATTAACTGTTGATGATGAATTTATTTCTTCTCACTTTTCAAAATACTTTCACTGATCTAATGACATTCTCTTTTCAAAACTACTCTGTCTCATATGTACAGTTCCATTTTTCTTCTTTCACCAAAGACAAAATCAATACTGAGTTGAGTTAGCAGCATCAGAACAAATCATACAACTTTCCTTTTTCTGACAAGGAGGATAGCATGCCCTGTTTACATGCTAAAATTTTACCATTTGATTTCACTTTTTGTATATGAACTTTTAGTGATTTAGTGATAGTAGTAAAAAGGAAATCTCTTACCCACTGTAGACAAAATATAGTCTTATGAGGAAACTGTTCCATGCTATGAATTATTCTCAGTAAAACTAATGACATTTATTTCTTTTTCTATTAATACTTGCCAAGAATATCTGCTACAGCAGAAAATGGATACACTGTGAAGTTTGAGATAATGTAGTAATGCTTGTACAAATGAACAGAAATTGCTGCCTCACGAAGAAAACAATAGTACTCACAATACTTGCATTCTGTCAGCTGTATTACAAGTATGGTAACCACGGCTCTGCATGTCCAAATTAGACAAAAAAATTACATCACTTTCTTTGGACCTAGTGAATGCCTAACAGATGTCTGGGAGAGATTTGGATGAGAAAAGGAAAGGAGACAAATCTTATCAATAGATCATAAGATCCACCCTGCCAAAAATCAAGGAATAAGACACTCACACGCAATAGTTACCCAGTGGTGACACATACACTATTTGGAAGATAACCACATCTGACATTTTTAAAACTCTGTGCTTTTAGCCAGTGCTACATGAGATAACTCTAAGAATCTGCTCAAAGACTGCAGAAAAGCACTTACTTAAAATAGAGACAACACTCTGAGATATAATCCTTACTACTTTTTAAAAGTGAACTGCCTTATATACCTGCAGATGTCAACATTATCAAGTAAGTTTAACTTCTTGTAAAGCTGTTTAGATATTTTTAAGTGTCACCTATGGGTTGAAGTACCCATAAAGTAATGAATAAAAATTAAATTGGAAGGAAAATTTGTGAATTAAATGAGGAGGTAATAAAATACTCAATGAGATCCAAAGAAGGCATCAAAAACTACATGGGAAACAGCTATTTCTCATTCATAGTTGGCTTCATTCAAAGCAAAAACACATGCAAGGCCAGTTAATGAGCAGGTACAGTTCCTCTAACCACGGCACTCTGCATACCACAGTGATTTCTCACTGCACTCTCTCTAGCCAGCTGGATGCCTTAGGAATGCCTGCCATTCCAATAAACCCATCAGAGTGTTCTAGCTGCAACACTCTGGAAAACCCATGCTCTAGCTGGTGGAGTAACCCTAGCCTGACGCACTAAGCGTAAGAGGCCAGGATGACGACATATCCACAGCTTGCATGGAACCTGTTCCCCACAGGAACGCAAGCTCTGCTTATGCAGAACAGGGAAGTCCCTGAACTAAGAAGTTACCTTGGATGCTGGGTCAGTCTGTTGCTAGCTGGAGCAGAAAGCACATGACACGCAGAAAGAAAATGCTTTACACATGTTTGTAGGCAGTAGAAATCATGAAGAATAACCATGAGGCCAGTTCGAGGCCAGCGTGGGCTACAAAGTGAGCTCAAGGCCAGCCTGAAGTGCATAGCGAGACTTTGTCTCAAAAAGATAAAAAGAAGAACTATAAATGATCAGAAACTGAGCCAGAGTAACCCTGTGGAGAGACATGATCTAAGAGAAAGTGTTTTTACCAACAGACAAAGCAAGATAGAAGGGAGCTGTCTAGGTCCCGGTCCTCACAGAAGAAACTCTGGCACTAGGGGCAGAGAGAGAGTCTGCTGAAAGAGTTGCACTGGTCGCTTTTCATTTCTGAATCGCAGTCCCTTCTCTGGGTTCAGGTGAAGGCCAGCCTCCTGGCTGGAGCTCCGGTCTTCCTCCGCTTAAACTTGGCCTTGCTGAGGTAACCCCATTGAGTCTTTTTCTTTGCAACCAAAAGAACTTAACATCCTCTCTTCTAAAAACAGCAAAGATTTCACCACGTACAGCTCTGTAAACTACGTTATATTTACTCTAGCCAATTATTACACACCCCAAGAAAGTATAATTATACCGCTCCGATAAAAGGGAGAGGAAACCACACAAATATGTTACACATCTCAAGTCACTAAAAAAAGTATAGTACCCAAAAAAGAAAAAATGCTCTCATGGATAGATATCTGTCCTTCTGTAGCCAACTCAAAAGCAGAAGCAACCAACACATGCTGTGACTTCTCTTCCCTCACACATGAAGTCAACATTTTGCTGTGGCTCTTGTATTTTTTCATAGCATGAAGCACTATGTGTATTGTGTTTTTACTTATTGAAGATGACACTAAATGCATTCTTAGACTTTATCTGTGTAGCAGAAAAATACATTCTTTCTCACCTTTATGTATTTCCTCAACACTAAAAGATCCCGCACGTTTTTCTTAGATTACTCTGAGTTATATGTTGGATTTATTTTCTCATAACATAAAAACATGAACTATGAAATCTTCCCTTACTTACAAAATTATGTCTTGCTGTTTGGGAAGAAGAAAATAGGAGGGTTATGGGTAGGGAGAAGGTGGCAAGAGAGAAGAGGAGGACATGTAAAGCAGAAAGGAGGTAAAAATTTAAGAGAAAAATTCAAAACGGAAATGTCAAAAGACCTGGACTGACAGCTACACATATGCACACTGAACAGCACCAGATTCTCATTTCCCAGGGTTCACAGGGGGACCTCACCCCTTCCCACCTTTTCGGTGAACAAAGCCCCAAGGTTGGCAGGCAGGCTGCAGCAGGCTGTCATCACGGAGAGCTCTAAAGGATTCGCCATCACTGACGGCTTTCCCAGTTCTCATGCACTGACGCTGTCACTCTTCTTAATGACTGCAGGATAGCACTCCTGGTCACAGCCACCCCCGTCTGAAGCCAGCCATCCTTTTATGGGAATACAGACACCCGCATTTCTGATTCAGTATGGGAAGTGTTTCCTTGGGTCTTATCATACATTTGTCACACCCTCCTTCCAGAAACTGAAACTCAACAAAGAAATTCCACTTGCTGGTATGAGTGAGCCAGGCTACAAAGAGAACACCTGTTATAGCTCTGGGAGCCTACCTATAAATAAATGCCTCCTGGTTCTCTGCTCCTGTGCCATACCCACAAGCTAAAGCACCACCTTGTTTCTCCCTGGACTCCTGGGGCTAATCTATTTCCTCCAAAGTGCCTGGAGCCTGTTCAAAGTAACCTTGGACCTGATGCTTCTGTGGAATTCAACCGTGCGTCCTGCGGCTGACAACACCCCCAGCACCTGTCCTTCGTCTAACATCCTAGCCTGTCCTCGCAGACATGGGCAAATGCCAAGATAAAGTTGGAAGGAATATCAGTCTACTAATTAAAATGTATTCATTTAACCACTATTGGTTGAATGTCATGTATATATCTGCATGACAGTGATACAACAATGAACAAAAAACACCCTCTGCCTTCACAGAATGTATGTTCTAATTATCTGAATTCAGAAACTGAAATTTAACTACATATAAAAAGGTAAAACTATTGTTCATTTATTACCAGAAGAAGTAAAAGTATGTGAGCTTGTATCTGTTATCTAATGTAAAGGAAGTATCTGGAATATCATCTCAAAATATAAGACAAAGAGTACAAAACCTATTTCCTTGACTGACAGAAGCACATGATTCAAGCAATAAGTTGCCCTATAGTGCAGACTGTCTTAGTTACTTTTGTTGTCCCTGGGAACACAACTAATACTTGCAATTAAAAAAAAGAGAGGTTTATTTCGGCCCCTAATCTGTAGCGGTTTTAGTCCAGAGTCAGCTGCTCCAAGTCAGGATGGCAAAGCAGAGGATTACGGTGGAGGTAAGCTGCTTACAACATGTAGAACAGGAAGCAGAGAACAAGGAATGGCAGAGCCAGGAAGAAAGATAAATTATTCCAGGCCATGCCGCCAGGTACCTGCCTCCGCTGAGCAGACCCTACCTCCCAACAGCAGGCTAGCAACAAGCCCATAATACAATCAACTTGCTAAAGCTCCACCTGTAAGTGCACGAGGCTTCGGGAAAACATCTAGATATGAACCGTAACATTTCTCCCCAGCCCCTAAAACATCCAATTGCATCTCTTTATCTAAAATGCATTCAGTACATTTCTACGAGTTGCCAAGGCCCCACCAGTTCCAACACTGCAGCAAAGTCCAAGTCTAAAGGCTTCTGTGAGACTCAAAGCAAATTCCTAACTGTGAGCCCCTGTTGAAATCAAAAATGAAATAAAATAGAATAAAAACTGCCAACATGCAAAAGCAAGGAGTAAACATGTCTGTTCCAAAAGGAGGGAAGAGGGGTATAAAAACCAATAGGACCGAAGCAAGACTGAAACTTTTTCCAGGGTAAACATTAAGTCAATTAGTTCCATGTCCAGCACCTGGAACAAGTTGTGGCAAGATGTGTTCTCCAGGGGCTGGGGATTTAGCTCAGCAGCACAGTGACTGCCTGGCAAGCGCAAGGTCATGAGTTCAATTCCTAGTACGGGGGCGGGCAGGTAGTGTTCTCCAAATGGCTTGACTGGCCACACCCCTACAGCACTGCAGGTGGTTGCAGTCCTCATGGTTTCTCTCCTAAGTGGGCTTTGCTTAATCCTTACAACTTTTCTCAGAGGGCGTGGTGATATGCATCCTGTGAAATCAGTTCTCTATGCAGCCTTTCTCTAACAGACTGCCCTTGGACCCTCTTCTCAAAGCAATGTCTTTCACTTTTGCAGGCCAAAGGGTGGGTTGTGCTCTTTCCTGACATGCCCTTAAGCCACTTTTCCTATGTCTTCCTGCAAGGTGCTTGGCTACTCTTAACACTAATATATCAGCAACCAAGCTCTCCTTAAATCCAACTTTGTGGGCCCCAAACTTATGGGAGCTTTAGCTATGCAGTTTGCTTTTGATCTTCAGCATAAAGCTGGCTGAAAGCCACCCACAGTATCCATGCCACAGCCTGAACATTGAGCTGCCCTGAAATTTCCTCCAACAGATTGACTGGTCTGGGGCCATCCATCCCTTGCAAAGGACATGTGCAACATGTAGAAAAACTTTCTGTCAGAGCATAATTGTTATGGCTTGTGTCTGGATGTCCCCCCAAAGCCTCATGCAGTCATGGGTGCGGGTTTCTAGAGTTTATGATTGATCCATGGTCCAATGCTGGATTATGGGTGGGAGTGCTACATCCATCCTGGGACAGGTAGTTTACATACAATACAGGAAGGGAAAGAGGCTTGCTCTTCCCACTGCCACTCCTCCCTTTTGTTCTTGTTGCTTTTGCTGTCTTCTGCCACCATGAACTATTGTCCTCTGCCATGTGCCACCCTGCCTTGGAGCCAGCCAAGTATGGACTGAAACCTCCACAAACAGCTAAATGAACCTGTCCCTCCTTAATTTGGGGTGTCAGGTATTTTGTCCCAGCAAGGACAGCAAAGTAACCAAGACAATAATGCACACAGTTCTGCAGTCCAACTGCCACTGGAGTCCTTGTTCCCAACCTAAATCTCCTGAGTCTGGTCTTTACAGTCCGAATCTCAGACTGAGCTCCAATCTTAATTTCCCATCAAACTTGGTTTACAGTACTCTAGGGCTTTTTCTCCAGACAGTATCTCCAGCCCTTTCCAAGCTCCTTACATGAGCCTGTTCTAAAGGCTTCTGAACCACAGTCCTGTAGCATTATATCAGCAACCTCATTTCTGGTACCAGTACCAGCCCTAGTTACTTTCCTTGTCACTGGGACACAAAAACTTCACACCCACAACTAAAAGGAGGAGAGGTTTTATTTTGGCTCAATTTCCAGAGGATTTAATCCATAGTTGGTTAGTTCTAAGGCAAAGTCTCATGGCAGAGGGGAACTGCTCATGGCATGGAAGATAAGAAGCAAGGAGTGAGGGAGGACAGAGACGGGGAGGGAAATAAACCCTTCCAGTCTAGGCCTCTGCTGACCCACTGCTATTGACCAGCCTCTGCCTCCTAACACATTAGCTATAAGCCCCATAATCCCATTATCTCTCAAAGGTCCCATCTGTATGCACAGGCTTTGGGGGGAACATCTGACTCTAAACTGTGACACATATAAAGCTAACACACAGAAAACAGCTCACGTGTTTCCAGAAAGAGAAGGGAGAGGTGCAGATGCACGGAACGGTGACGAGGGAGAGAGGAAACAGAGGCTTATTCGGAGGCAGTACAGGATTCTCCAGCAGGAAACACAGAGCTAGGTACAGTTAACACTCAGAAAGAAGCAAACGCAACCTTGCCTTCTGTCTTGAAATTTCACACAACATCATGAACCTTATAAACCCCAGATCTCTCTAGAAAATGTATTTTTGCTTTCTGTGGCAGAAACGCTTGCTTGTTTTGTTTTTTCTTGCTAAATCCCACTCACCGTGCAGCACAACACTTCTAACCCAGGCCCTCCTCCTCTCTCAGCCTCTCCTTTGGCATCTCTTTGTGTCCTGCCAGCTCTGCTTGCTTCACTGCTCTGGCTGCTGGAAGTGTCACAGAAAGCTGCCTCCTCGGACGGGTGCCATTCAACAGAGCAGGAAGAATGGACAGCTGCTCTTGATCACTGTTTTCCCTGCTGGACTCCGCAGTTCCATCATTTGATCTGACCCTGGCATTAGGATGGAATTCACCGGGGCTGGGGATTTAGCTCAGCGGCAAAAGCACCTGCCTGGCAAGCGCAAGGTCGTGAGTTCGGTTCCCGGTACCGGAGAAAAAACCAAAACCAAAAAAAAGGATGGAATTCACCTATTAAATTAATGCTCTGAGTACTTGTTCTCTCTGGGTCTGCCCAGCTCTTTCCTGCAGTGATCTCGGAGGGCCCCCGTGACAGTCTTTTCATGGTCTTCTGACTTTCTAAGAGCAGTGCTGCCTCTTTCGCTTCATCTTAGCAAGCAGGCTCCACATGTCCCATAACACAAGCAGCAAACTTGTAAAAAGACCTGAACCAATACTCTTTCAAGAATTATCAACTTCCATTTAGTAAGTACTGGCAGTCCCCAAGTATTTTATGCCTTCTCATAAACAGTCTGACTACCAGGTATATTTTACAGTGAAAAATGGCAGAAATAAAATTCAGCAACATAGGCAAATATGTATTTTTCTCAGCAGGGAAAAGGAGGCATACAGTCTGTTCCTATGAGTCCTCTGGAGTACCTGGCCTGTCATTTAACTTAAAAAAAAAAAAAAAAATCAAGCTTTGCATGGGAGATTAACTCCAAAGCAAATAAAATAGCATCTCCTCAAGATTAACTAACCTACCCAATAGATCTGAAAAGAAGTTCTAGAACAGATCATTTATTAAGGGAATACGTTTCTACATCCAGACCAGCACACAGTCGTGAGGCAGAGGTTCCTGGACAGTATTTCTAGCCTGCTGCCTATCATTAGAAGCACTTGTTTTGCCAAGGAAAACATTCCTAATATGTTTTATGCTAATTAAACCATGGTGAAGATGCTGTCAACAGTAATTTTTGAAATCTTGGCCCAGCTACATTTGTAAGTGGACACAGGCTAGAGCCCTCCGACAATTTTCTCAACAATCTAGATATGAGGATCAAAATGGAACACGAATGCGTGTGTGTGTGTGTGAAAATTGTGTGTCCATCATATGGTCTATATGGCAGCATATTGATACAAATTACGGACAATATCAGAATGAGATTCAAATTCTCCCCCTTGAAGAAACCCACAAATTTGCAAGGCATGTGTGCTCAGCACTCCCCTCCCCAGAGAAAAAGGGGAAGGTGAAAGGATGAGGTGACCATGCGTCACAACCGTTCTCTTTCCACGTCACAGTCCACCTCATAGTTCATTATA